GAGATGCTCGTCTATTTAAACCTACATATCATGATCAGATGTAAGTCTGATCTGAGCTAGTGGCTCTCTGATCCTAGGAATGAGGGTTTTTTTAAAAAAAAATCCAAGGCAATGGGTTGCATCAAGAACCCTTTTCTTATAGGAAAGGAAGGCTTGTAAAATGAAAATTTGTATGCCTCTCAGTTTGATAGGCCAGATTAAGAGGAAGCCTTGCCATTTTCACAGACCCACAAAGCTTTGATGCGTCTCTGATGTGAGAGAGGAAATGGTGTAATTTCTATCAGTTTTTCACTCTCCTTTAATATGTTCGCTTGGTATCCGATGCGATAAATTCTCAGGAATAAACAACGAAAGCTCGGCTTGGGTTAAAATCGACGGATGTGAAAAGCTTTCATTCCTACTCTCTGTGCTTTTCAAGCTGTATTTAGTATTTTATTATTATGTTTTTTTTTAGAGATTAAAAGATGCTTCATTTTCTAAGGCTGGGAGCGAAAAGGAGGTTCAATTACCACTTGAAGGAGGCGCGTCCTTTTTTTTCCAATTTGGGCTTATCAAAAAGCCAATTTGTTCTGTGTACTTCATTGGATTCCTTTTAGCTTTATTATTATTATTACTTTCTTTCTTCTTTTTTTTTGCCGCCCGCCCTCCTTCTTTTTAATTTGATCAAAATTGCCTTTTATGTTTGCTGGAGTCTTCTCCCAATTGTGCATGCCAAATTAGAACTTAATACAGCCTCACAAATGGCTTCATAAAAGTTATTATCGTTCTCGGAGTTTATAAGACGTAACTCATTTTGCATCCCTTTGGGTTGCTAAGGCAGGAGAAGGGTGGAAATGATTGGACTGCCAATTGTCAGAAATGCTTGGGCGGGGAGTTGGGCTAGATGACCTACAAGGTCCCTTCCAACTCTGTTAATCTATATAATTCTCTACCCTGGCTTTGCAAACCTTGGCTTGTGGCTGTTTGCAAACCCTCGGCTTGGCCGCACTAACCAGGGTTTTTGAGCCCTCTCAAAATTGCTTTTCGTAAAACTTAGGTTTAAATCTCATCTGGAAGTTTTGCTTCCTTGGGATTTGACCAAGATCGATTCATACAAAATTGGTAAAAAGTAAATTACCCCCCCCCCCTTATGTTTAAATTCTAACTCTGCCTACCAGCATCCATAGATATTCATCAGGCTAGCGTCCTGTTGGTATATGTGAGAGAGTTGAGGACTGTTTGGAAACTGAAGCAGTATTTGCTGTGTGAGCGAGAAGGAGACAGCAAGGAGCCTGGCCATGGCTTAGTTCAACTGTTCTATACTAAAGCTGCTTGCTGCTCTGAAACTGAAACTGAAACTCCTCTGCTTGTGTTTTGCATTTGGAAGAGATTTATTTTCAGGTGGGGAGGGGGAGTAGAACTCCTTAGCATCAGAGCGTGTTAATAATAATAATACAGGAAATACTAAATGCTCTGATGGTCATTTCGAAGAATCCTTTCTTAGCGAGCCCCTAGAAGCCAAGAGGAACATATGTGCCAAATTTCAAGTTTGTAGGCTTTACGGTTCTGGAGATTTAGTGACGATGCGTGAGTAGCATTTCGCCTTTCATATATATAGAGAATAAAGATATTTCTTTTCTTCGTAGGTTCATCTCAGACATGGCAGTGCCCTGTGTCTTCCTTCTAACCGTGCTGGGAGCAGAAGTCACCAGCAAATCCACTGACAGCTTGGTAGGTGCGGTTTGTGGCCATCGGCCAAAATCGAAAATAAAAAAGGAAGAGATTAAAAAATAAAAGAGAGAAGCTCAGATTAAGCCACCACACCAAACCCCGTGACAGGAATTTGATCAGTGGCATAATCACTGCCGGCTCATTGGCTTGCGAGTTGATTGACGGCTCTCCTCCTGGGGTAAGCTATGGCTCTAACAAGCCACATTAGGTCCATTTTTTCCTTACTCTGAGGATGCTACGAGGGAGGTTCAGTCCCGGAAGCCATCTGTTCCTTCCAGCGAGTATCTGGAAGACCGCAGAGCGTCTTAATCCTGATTTCCAGTTGTGATTACTGATCACTCCAAATGATATTAGTCTGTAGATCGGATCAGCCTGGATTTGTGAATGAGAAAGCTGGTTTTTTTAATAAAAAAACAAACACTCCCCCTCCCGTTTTCTGTGAATGCTGGCTGGGGAATTCTGGGAGTTGAAGTCCACACACCTTCAAGTTCCCAAGGTTAAGAAACACGGTTCCACACGGACAAAGCCTGCCTTAATCCCTCCAAGTGTGACTTACAAAGGCTGAACTATATGTTCTTACTTTTCGTCCCTTCCACCTGCTTGTAGGTGATTCGCTGTATTAACCGTGATTTAAAGCATCTCCAAATTTCTGTTCGAGGAATGAATTCCCAAAGCCTGTAACTTATAGTCTGCTCTGAACAAAACCAGTTCTCGTTTTTTATCTAGGAAGGCAAGAAAAGATTTCTTTCCTGGTCAGAAGTTCCTGGCCTGGTAGAACTAATTTTTTTCTCCTTCTGCCCCAGTCATCCATCCATCCATCCATTAATGCATTCATTCATCTATTCATTTATTGATTCATTCATTTATTCATTTATTCATTCATCTCCAAATATGAGCTCCAGCCCACCCAACAACCTTTGAACTCCCCGGCTCAAAGCTCTCCAGATTTGAAGGATTGCAATTCAGGACGACCATTTTAAAGAGGTTTCTGACAGCTGTGCTTTTTGGCTACAGTGAATAATTGGACAAAACTAGTGAGAGGTTTTAGCTCCCAGATTCAGAAGCATCCAAGTCATGTTTTCTTGCTGGTTTCCCCATTTTTTATTTTTTTTAAAAAACTTAGATGCTTCTTTTCTCTTGTATCTAAATGAGTTCAGGATAACCCAAATGAAGTTTAACTAATTTTTAGCTAGCATCGTCTTTTAGGCCGCAATTAAAACCTTCTGGCAGCCCACAATAGGAGGAAAATCTGATTATTTTTTTCAGCAGCTCTGTGGAATTTTCTGTTCGATCCAAGGCACCAATACAGCAAATGGGATGGAAGCAGGGCCTTAAAATGGCTCTTTATTTTCTGCAAGCCCTCTCTCGTGTCAAATACAGCTAGTCCTCGACTTACAATCACAACGGAGTCCAACATTCCCGTTGCAGAGTGAGACATGGGTTGAATGAGTTTTGCTCCACTTTCTTGCCACAGTCGCTAAGCAAACCATTACAGTGGTTTAAGTTAATAACCCGGTCGTTAAGTGAATCTGGCTTGCCTTGTCAGAAAACCGCACAGAGGTGATCTCAGGATGCTTTGACCATCATAACTATGACGCATCCGAATTTTGATCCTGGCACCGACGGGCGTAAGTGTGAAAAAAACGGGTGTGTAAGTCCCTTTTTTCCGGGGCCGTTGTGACTTCAAACGGTCGCTCAATGAACGGTCATAAGTTTGAGGACCGCCTGTCTTCTCCACGTCACGTTTTTTCCAGGGTTTTTCTGGAGGGAAAGACAAACCTGACCTCCATCTCTCCGGTTTTGAAATCCCCCAAACCCAGCACCGCGGCCTGGGTTGAATTATTTCTTTTGTGCGCGCCGTCCATCAATTCCGCAGCCCATACGGCGGGCTACAACTCCCAGGAAGGAGAAAATACGGCTCCAGTCCAAATGCGGCTCAAGATCAGCAGGCCTTAAAGCATCCGAGCAGCCAGCGCTTGGCAGGAAGGCAGTAAGTTTGAGAAGCTTGGCCGGAGAGCGCGGTGGTTGTGTTCTTCTTGACAAAACTCATTTTCAAGGGGCCAGTTTTCTGGATCGATCCTACCAATCTTGATTAAAAACCAACGAGGGGTTGGGAGGGGTGGTGGTGGCTTGGAGCCCCAGCCAAGCCGCAAACCTCACGGAGCAAAGGCAGGACCGCCGTGTTCCCTTCTGGGAAACTGGGCCTTCCGGATGGTAAATAAAACAGCAGCTTTCATAGCGGAACACCGAAGGAACGGGGAGAGCAATTTTACGCCCGGTGCGTCAAATACTTGGCAGGAACCAAAAAAAAAAAAAAAAAGTGCTTTGGAAATGTTGGTGGTGAGCTAGCTGGGATGGCGTCGAGCCAAATGACTCTGGGCAAGGAGTCAAAAAGGAAGCCACCGACAGCTCAAGACGGGGATTCTAGATGGGTTTTCACTCCGGTGGGAATTATTATTTTATTTATTTATCAAATCAAAGGCATAGGTCAGCTGTGGGATTCAAATTTTTTAACAATGGGTTCTGTGGGCGTGGCTTGGTGGTCATGTGACTGGGTGGACATGGCTTGGTGGTCATGTGATTGGCTGGGTGTGGCCAACTCAACATCACTCACATCAAGGCACACATCTCGCCTGGTCTCTCATGACTGTGGGGATGCTGCAACAGTCGTAAGTGTGAAAAAAAGTCATAAGTCACTTTTTTCAGTGCCAGTGTAACTTTGAATGGTCACTCCACACAAGCAAAGTACCAGCAAAGGAGGGGGAAAAAACTCCAGAGAAATTCCTGAGACAGGAAGTCTAGTCCTGCCAAGAACTCCTGCCAAGGGTTAACGGAGAGGCAGTTTCTGTAAGCAACACCAGAATGTTTCCTTCCTGCCTTCCTTACAGGATTAGGCCAGTAATTTCTTCTAACAACCGGTTCTCCCAACTGCTTAGAATGTTAACAACCAGTTCTAGCGAATAGGTGCAAACTGGAAGAATCCCACCCCTGGGCATGCGGTGTGTAAGGGGGTTGCATGCACATGCACAGAGGTGCACGGTGCATGCACAGGGGGTCATGAGTGCATGCGCAGGGGGGCAGGAGGTTGCGCAGGGGGGCAGGAGGTTGCGCATGCATTGCATCATGGGTGCAGACATGCGAGCAGACGCACACTTTTGGCACTCAACATGGAAAAGGTTAGCCATCACTGGCAGAGACAATCTGGAGTCTGGAAAAAAAGCCAGGAGGGGCTGACTTTGAGATTTGCACCCCATTTATTTTCCCCCTCATGCCAAGATTCCTCCCACCTTATAGAATTATAGAATAACAGTGTCAGTTTTGGAAGCCATGTTAGCATCAGTAGCTTCCATGCTGCCACATTCTTGAGCCTGGGAAAATGGGAGGGCGAATTTCTTGGAGCATATGTGGTTAGACATAATAGCATTCTTTTTCCAAGTCAAGGTCATGTTATTTCTGCACCTGGGTGAGGGGATGTCTCAAGTTGGGACGGATGGTGATTGGGGCATGTGATGCGATGAGGGGGTGCAGGGGGTGGATTTGTAATATTTTACTTATTGCAGGGAAACCCAGAATTTTCAGATTTGGGATTTCCCAGATGTGCCAGTTTACTACTCTAATAAAAGGAACCTTTGAGAAGATGCCCGTCTCGGAAGTTATGAGTTGGAGTTGAGGTTTTCTGGAATGCTAACAAAAGACTGTTGGAAGGGACCTTGGAGGTCTTCCAGTCCAACCCCCTGCTTAGGCAGGAAACCCTACACCAATTTCAGGCAAATGGTTATCCAATGTCTTCTTAAAAACTTGGTGGTTGGTGGTTCTGCTTCACCATTAAACCCTCTTTCCAATCGGCCTCCGTGTTTCCAGTGTCTTTCTCCCCACTTGGAACTGAACCCAGGTGGATGTTTCTTTCAACAAAACCAAGCGGTGCGTCCTTTTCATTTCCCCCCCAACTACAGTTGTGGTCTCTCCTCTGTCCTACTGTTTTATTTTGGTTCTTCGAACGAGGTGGTGCCACATAACCCTGACGGCAATTGCATTGTGATTTTGGTATTCATACTGGGGGGTGGGGGGAGCGGCAAGAGATTACCAAACAGGGTTGGTTCTAAGCAAACAAACTTTGGAAAAAAAATGGTTTTTTTTCTCTCTTTCCTTATGCTAGGAATCGGATGCAGAATGCTGTGTCGATGCAATGGAAGCTAACAGCACCTGCCTCTCCAACAGCCAGTGCACTCCAGGTAGGCAGTTAGTGTGGTTGGGGCTGTTGTCGTCCACTGGCAGCCTGTGGAGACAGCAACAGCGAGTCGGACAGCGGGGAGGAACATGGGCCAGTCCAGGAGTCATCCTTCCTTCCTTTCCTTCCTTCCTTCTATCCGTCCTTCTGTATTTCTAATTCATGTTTTCCTTCCTTCCTTCCTTCCGTCCTTCCTTCCTCTATCTGTTCTTCCTTATTTCCAATTCATTTTCCTTCCTTCCTTCCTTCCTTCCTTCCTTCCTTCCTTCCTTCCTTCCTTCCTTCCTTCCTTCCTTCCTTCCTTCCTCTATCTGTCCTTCTGTATTTCTAATTCATTTCGTTCCTTCCTTCTATCTGTCCTTCTGTATTTCTAATTCATGTTTTCCTTCCTTCCTTCCTTCCTTCCTTCCTTCCTTCCTTCCTTCCTTCCTCTGTTCTTCCTTATTTCAAATTCATTTCCTTCCTTCCTTCCCTTCCCTCACCCTTCACACCACACAGGCTGCTACAGGCGGTGGAACGAAGACGGCAGCAGCAGCTGCGTGAAATGTGAGAACGAGACCCTCCCTGCGGCTCCAGCATACAACCTGACAGACTGTCAAAACGGTGAGTGGCGGATGCTCTTCTTGTCCTCACCTTTGGGGCAGAGATAATCATGCTCTCACTGCTTTTCCCTTCTCAGCCCAGCAGAGGGCGGGAGAGAGGCATTTGAAGGTTCAGGATGCCTGGATGAAAAACAGCCCAAGATTCTAGTCCTCCTTGTTCTAAGAGGGCAAAGCAACATGGTTACGAACGGCTTGTTGATTTGACATGTTTTGAAAAGCCCCTTGATAGATATCTTCATTATTTTTTATTGCATTTATTAAATTCATATGCAAGGCCACCTATAAGGTGGCTCTTTACCTTGGTTAGCCTTTCGTTGATGGTTTTTGATGAGCAATTCCCGGCCTCCAGTCTCTCCTTTTTCTTTCTGCCTTTCCGACAGTAGGAATACAAATTCCCGCCCATGCGATGAATGCCAACGCATAGCTTTGGGAATTGAGCTGGTTTTTTTCCCTTGTGCCTAAAGCAAAATCCGAGCAATGGAACCAGGGAAAATAAGACTTGTAAATAATTCTTCTCTTTTTGTTATGGTCCGCCGGCAGCCTGTGGAGAAGGCAGCAGAGTCAGACAGGAACATGATCCAGTCCGGGAGTCTGGGGAGGACTCGGATGAGGGATCTGTGTCCGACACAGAGATGGGACCAGGGCCACCTGGGAGTTATGTGCAGACTCTGGAGCCTCCAGAATCTGGCAGCAGCGAGGCAGAGGAACAAGGGGAGCCTGTTCCCAGTGCGCATATGCGCAGAGCTGCCAGAAGGCAAGAACAGTTAAGACAAAAGGGGCGACTCAGGAGTATGGCTTGGAGGTGATTGGCCTTCCCATAACATATAAAGGAGGAGCAAAGGGACAGGAATCTTTGCAGGAAGCAACTATGTTTGTACTGGTCGGTTTGAAACCTGAAGCTCGGTGTTGAATTTGTGTTCTGTTTTGGCCTCGTATAATTAATTGGCAATTTAGTCATTGGCAGCATTTCAAGGAAGATAAAGGTGTGTGCTTATCAGACCTATCCTGAAGGACTTTGGCAGACTTCCATGGGACTCTTTACAAACTGTTTCAGGCTCATTACGGGCTGTGAATGACTAAAATTCACGGCCGTTGAAATAAAGAAAAAAAAGGGTTTTGGGACTAACGTGTGTTTGTTAGTGTCTCCATAAGACTTGGTCAGAACACTTTTGGACATACTTTCTTTCTCTCTTCTCCAAATGTATGGCTTTTTTTTCTAGATGCAGCCGGAGAACTGAACTCTCTAATCAACATAACTACCCTAACTCCAGAGACCCTCGGTGTAGGTGAGTCAGGCCGAAGAGGCGGTTGGCAAGACCCTTGCCTGCAAATCTAAGGATTAATTTGCAACGTTAGGAAAAAAAAAAAAGGACGTTCCCTTTGTGAGATGCTTCTCCGTTTTGTTTTGGCTTCATCTAGGAGGCCCTGAAGTCGCGGCTTCCCTAATTTTTGGCACCTTTGTCATCAGCCTCTTCCTCATCCTCTGTGTTGCATTCTTCTTCTACCTCAAACGTGCCAATAAACTCCCCAATCTCTTCTATCGAAGAAGCAAAGGTAGGTTTGTCTGCCGGCTGTTGCAGAGATGATGATTAGCGGGGCGGGAGGCTAAAAAACATACGAAGAAAGGTTGCAGGAATTGGGTATGTCTAGTCTTGGGAATAGAAGGAAATGACATGAGAACAGTGTTCCAATATTTGAGGGGCTGCCCCAAAGAAGAGGGAGTCAAGCTATTCTCCAAAGCACCTGAGGGCAGGACAAGAAGCAACGGATGGAAACTAACCAAGGAGAGAAGCAACGTAGAACGAAGGAGGAATTTCCTGACAGTTAGAACAATTCATCAGTGGAATAATTTGTCTCCAGAAGTTGTGGGTGCTCCATCACTGGAGGTTTTTAAGAAGAGATTGGAGAGGCGTTGGTCTGAAATAGCAATACCAATAGCACTTAGACTTATATACTGCTTTATAGTGCTTTTCCATCCCTCTCTAAGCGGTGTACAGAGTCAGCCTCTGGCCCCCAACAATCTGGGTCCTCATTTGACCCACCTCGGAAGGACGGAAGGCTGAGTCAACCTTGAGCCTGGTGGGATTTCAACTGCCAAATTGTAGGCCGCTGGCTGCAAAAGTAGCTTGCAGTACTGCACTCTAACCACTGCGCCACAGAGGTTCCTTATGGTTATAGGGCACAGGGGGTGGACTAGAAGGCCTCCAAGCTCCCCTCCAACTATGTTATTCTGTTATTCCAATCCCCCAGGGGGAAAAAAATCACCTTTGGATGGTTGGAAGAATTTAAGATTCCTCTCCTTGGCATTTAACATGGGTAGGGAAAGCAGCCTTTTGCTGTCGGTGCACATAATTGAAACAAGACTTCTCAAACCATCTTTTATTTTTTATTTTTTATCCCTTTCTGTGTTTCCCAGGGTCCATTGTACAGTCTGCTGAATCAGTAAGTACGGATCCGTCTTTGGGGGTTTCCAGGAACTTGCAAAAAAGCCTTACAAGGAAGCGGCCGAGGATGATGGGTGGGGAAGCTGCCAGTGGCGGGAAGGTCCTAGATGTCTCCTTCCTCCGATCAGTTAGCAAGCGTGTTTTTTTCCCCCCCCCCAGAGGGTGGTGTTTTGCAATCAGCAGCAGAATTGAAATGCCTGCACCAGTGTTTTTCAAACCTGCGCATTTAAACTGCATGGATTTCAATGCCCAGAATTCCCCAGCCAGAATGCCTGGGGAATTCTGGGAAGTTGAAGTCCGCACGCCTTCCAGGTGGGCACATTTGAACAACACCGGTCTGGATAATACAATTCCCAGTAAGAAATTACGGGATGAGATCGCCATCAATCCCTCTTTTCCCCCCCCCAATTACGGGTAGAATCGGCAATTTTCCGGGAAAACGGGGACATGGGGGGGGGGGTTATCTTAATGAAAGGCTGGCTCATTTCCAAACCTTGATATATATTTTTTTGCTTTATAGGCATCCATGTTATCTCCACCTTCTTCAAGTAAGGATTTCTTTTTTTTTTCTTCCATCTCTTGCTTGTGTAAAATGCCTTCTCCGGGTGTCCTGGGTAACAAGGACTTCTTTCAGCAGGAATAAGTCCTCGAGTTGTATCCAGAAAAGGAAGATTTAAAGAAAAAAAAAAATTATCCCAAGAAATCTCTTCTTAACAAAAAGCATCTCTTTGTTCCCCTGGCCCAGGCCTAACTACAACGGCTCGTAATGGTTCTCTCCCCGTTTCCACTACCCTAAATAGTTAAGGTTCTTTTAAAACAGACCGAGCAGTGCAAGAGTTTTACAGGAATGCTTGGGGTGGGGGGGAGGGGGGGAAGCATTTTTTGAGCGTGCCTTGCCGCCTCCAACAGTTCAATCTGCCGGAATAAATTCCCAGGTGGCTCGTTTTGGGTCTCTGCAGACTGCAAATGTGTGCGCTGTTTCGGGTGGCGGGAGACTGGAGCAGAAAAAAATAATTACAGTTGGGAGGGGCAGTGGGATTTCTTCCTACCTCCTGTTCGTCAACAAAATTGCCTTAATAAGCATGTGGAATCGGAGGCTTACACCGCCTCCTAGGGAGGCCCTTGTTTCCCAAATCAAAATAGTGTGTTCTTTTTGCATATTGTTTTTAAAAAAGCAAGGGTTCCTCCCAATTTTTCTTTTTTTTTAACTTTCTTTTTTTAAAAAAGTGTGTGTGTGTGTGTGATGGGATGAGCCGATGTTGGAAGAGAAAGATACAGAAATCTGTTGTGGCCCACCGGCGGCTGACGGAGCTGGCAGCAGAGTTGGATAGTAGTGAAGAGGTTGGGGAGGAACCTGGCCTGGTTCTGGAGGCTGAGGAAGGGCCGGACGAGGGCTCTGCATCAGAGGCAGGGATGGGGCCAGGGCAGGCTGGCAGTCGGCAGCAGCCTTCGGGTTCGGACAGCAGTGGGGCGGGGGAGCTTCTGGAACCGGTTCCCAGCCTGTGCATGTGCATGATTACCAGAAGACCAGAACAATTGAGAGAGTAGGGTTGACTCAGAAGTAAGGCCACACCTCGGAGATGATTGGCCCCTCCCATAGGACATCAAAGAGGAGCGAAGGGGACGTGAGCTTTTGCAGGAAGCAATTAGTTTGTCCAGTTGAGCCAAGCTTTAAAAAGTTCTGTTTGACTCTGTGTCAAGTTCGGCCTTGCCCTGCATTTGGCAATTAATTCTCTGGCCGCATCCCAAGTGCGATAAGTTGGGTGTTTATCAACATTCCCCTGAAAGACTGTTTGTGAAGCCTGGCAGGCTGTGAATGAACGTAATTCACAGCCGTGGAAATAATAGAGGTTTTGCCTGGGACTAAGATTGCGTTTTATGCTTTCTAAGGAAGCTTAGGTCAGAACAAAATCCTTTGACTGAATGTTAAAGCCTCTTTTGTGAGACTCGGGATAGAAACTAACTGTGTCTCTCTCTTTTGGCTCCAGTCCGGAAACCTCGTTACGTCCGACGCGATCGTTCGCTCGCCTCCTCTACCACCAGCACGACTCTGTCCACTGAGACCCGGGTCAGCAACGTGTAGCTGTCGGGACTTGTTAAATACTAGGCCAGCCATCGAGTCACCGAGAAAGCACCTAAGTAGAGAATCGGCAACAGGAGCCATCCGGCTTCCGTGCGACGAGTGGACTCGTTCCAATCGGCGGGAAACGGGGACTCTTAACACGTTGGGTTAGCTTTAGGAGAGAGAGAGAGAGAGATGTTTCTGGCGACCCGGATGGGACGCCAAATTTCATTTTCCTGGTGGCCAAGCATCTTCAAGAAGCCTCTTTGCTCTGGACCCTGTGATTTCTATGGTTGGGATTGAGGCCTCCTAGCCAGCGAGGAACCAACCGCCTTGAGGAAATGGCCATGCTTCAAGGGAAACTCAAGTGCCATATTTTGGGGGTTGTGTATGCATTTTTTGGAAACAAAATGGCATTGAAAATGCTTTCCAGAGGGGGGCTGTTTCTCTCAAGATGCGGGGTAGGCTGCTAGAAAGCACACTCCCTTCTTCCTGTTGTGTAATTTCTTTATTTTTCCTAGAGTTTGACCGAGGCCTTAAGCTCAGGGCAGCCTTGCCGTTTTTTGAGCATCCAGATAGGTTTGATTCTCCCTTTTTAATCTTCTTCGTGCCCAAGAAGGACCCAGCCAGGTTTCCCCTTCTTTTAGTAAAATCCTAGCCTGCTCCCTGAGTTTTTAGTGTGTGTGTGTGTGAGTGTGTGTGAGTGTATGTGCGTTGTGCGGCCAAACCCCCACCTTGGACAGGCCTGGCCCGTCTTCCCCATGACCACACTTGGAAGCCCTTTGGAGTTAGCTCTTCAAGGGGTCAGCAGCTCACCCCATGGTCTCCGCTCGCCAGCAGCTAGAAGAAAGGTGGGTGCTTGGGAACACAGCTAGTCCTTGACTTACAATGGTTCATTTAGTGACCGAAGCTACAACGCCACTGAAGGATGTCACATTTATAACCATTTTTCACAACTTTTGTAGCATCCCCAGGGTCACGTGAATTACATTTGGATGCTTGGCAACTGGTTCACACTTACGACCGTGGCGGTGATCCCCTTATAAAAGTGACGGATGGAAAATAACCAAGGAGAGAAGCAACCTAGAACTAAGAGGAAATTTCCTGACAGTGAGAACAATTAATCAGTGGAACAACTTGCCTCCAGAGGTTGTAAATGCTCCAACACTGGAAGCTTTTAAGAAGAGATTGGATAACCCTTTGTCTGAAGTGGTGTAGGGTCTCCTGCTTGGTTGGGGGATTGGACTAGATGACCTACAAGGTCCCTTCCAACTCTATTACTCTATTAAAACCTCCAAGGTGCCTACCGACTGTGTGAACCTTCTGGCAAGTGAAGTCAATGTGGAAACCAGATTCACTTAACACCCAAGTTGCTAACTTATCCATTGCAGTGATTTACTATGTGGCTAAAAAGGCCACAGAATGGGGCAAAACTCAACAAAGGTCTCATTTAGCAACTGGAATCTGGAGCTCAATTACGGTTCGTAAGTCAAGGACTACCTGTCTTCTCCGGACGTCCAGTTTGGTGCTCCGTTAAAAAAAACAATCTACATCCTTCAGGAAGGGCCCAAACCCAACAAGGGGTTTGTCTCTGCTTTCTCGTCTCCACTTTCCCTCTCTCCCACCTGCGACCTGTGTGCATGTCCTAACTCGAGTCCGTCCTTATGCAAATCGAAGCGGGCCACTCCTTAAAACTTTCCAAAGGCCATGCCAAGAAATCCAGCCGCTTTAAATCCCCCCGTCGGAGAGTTTCTTCAACTCTCTTTTAATTGGGGGTTGTGATCTTGATGCAAGGGAAGCTAGCTAGGGTCTAAAGAGCAGCGGCGCCCATTCCTGTGTAGGCCAAATGTTTCGGGCCCAACGGGCGTTGTGGTAGCCACACGCCTTCCCTCCGAAGGCAGCGTGTCTTTTTCCCTAAAGTAGGACGTTGTCTTCTCCCTGCCTTGCTTTCCATCAAGGCCGCTTTTTGGGGGGGGGGGCTTCCTGAAGTTGTCAGAATAACACAACCCCACCCTTAGCGTTGGTCACGCTAGCTGGGTTTACGGGAGTTAAAAATCCAGAAGGCTACGGCCAACCACAGGTTTCTCTACTCTTGCGATCCCTTTCAAAAAAGAAAACAGAACTAGTGATTATTTGTGTTACCGAAGTTGCACGGTTATTAATTTAGGATCCTTTCCTTCCACGCGGAAGGAAACTGGGAAACTGACTTGGGAAGTTGCCTGTGGATGTCCTGAAATTCTTCTGCCTTTTTTTTTTTTTTAAACTCCTTCTGAATTGACCGAGATTCTATGCAATGAAACCACGCAATCTCCTTACGCACCGAAGCCAATTTATCTTTCCTCCCTGCTGCATTTGTGGCTTGCTTTTAGCTGGGGTTATTGTTATTATTATTTTTAATTCCATCCTCTCCGGATGGGATTTTAGCCAAAAGCCACCGCTCTTTGTTTCGTTGCCTTGTCGTGCGTTTCAGCCCTCAAAAAAAGGACACCTCTGGAATCCTCGACCCATTTGGGATGCATTTCTTATTTCAAGACTGTACTTTTCTTTCAATTGCACCCAGACTGAACTGCAGCCGCCTGTAGAGGGGTGGAAATGTGTTTGCTCTTTCGTCGGAAAGGGTGAAAAAAAAAATCTGTCTTTGAAGTGAGCCATTGAAACCAAAACACTGGAATAGATCAGTTGTTGTAGTTTTTTAAAAATCCCCTTCACACCATCGTGTCAAATGCAAAATGTGTAGCTTTGTATTATACATATTTTTTTCACTCCGTCCTCTTTCACCACTCCCCTCTCCCCTGAATAAAAGCACACCGAATTTGACGTGGTGTTTTTTTTTTTTTCATGTTCAGAGATGGCTGATCTGGTGCGTTAGTCGCATGCGTGGGCCAGTTTGGAATTACTAACCTGCAGGTCGGTTTTTCTTGGGAGGCTGCCCCAAAACTCGGTCTATCAGCATCAATATCTGCACAAACAGAGGGAATAGAATCAAGATCACATGAAGGGTTAATAACACCCCTTTATAAGGCCACACTTGAAGTACTGCATTTGGTCACCACGATGTAAAAAAGACGTTGAGACTCTAGAAAGAGTGCAGAGAAGAGCCACAAAGAGGATTAGGGGACTGGAGGCTAAAACATATAGAGAACGGTTGCTGGAACTGGGTATGTCTAGTTTAATGAAAAGAAGGACTAGGGGAGACATGATAGCAGTGTGCCAATATCTCAGGGGCTGCCCCAAAAAGGGAGTCAAGCTATTCTCCAAAGCACCTGAAGGCAGGACAAGAAGCAACCAATGGAAACTAATCAAGGAGAGACAAGAAGCAACCAATGGAAACTAATCAAGGAGGAATTTCCTGACAGTTAGAACAATTAATCAGTGGAACAATTTGCCTCCAGAAGTTGTGAAGGCTCCAACACTGGAAGTTTTTAAGAAGAGATTGGCAACCATTTGTCTGAAGTGGTGTAGGATTTCCTGCTTAAGCAGGGGGTTGGACTAGAAGACCTCCAAGGTCCCTTCCAACTCTGTTATTCCATTTCTAATAAAAGCAGAATATCACAGTTGATTCTATTATTATTATTATTATTATTATTATTATTATTATTATTATTATTATTATTATTATTATTATTATTATTATTATTATATTATTATTATTAGTGAAAGGGAGGCAGTTGGTTGTGGGCTATCCCTCCCTCTGCTGTCTGAAGGAAGCGATTTTGGCTTTCTCAAAACTGCTGCTTCCCTCTTCCTGCATAAATCAAGTTTACAGGAACTGGGCCTGGCTAGTCTAGGGAAGGGAAGGACCAGGGGAGACAGGAGAGCAGTCTTCCCATATTTGAGGGGCTGCCACAGAGAGGAGGAAGGGGTCAAGCTATTTTCCAAGGCACCTGAAGGCCAGACAAGGAATAATAATGGATGGAAACTGACCAAGGAGAGATTCAGCCTGGAAATGATGAATTTTCTGACAGGGAGAACAATCAACCCATGGAACAGAAGTTGCCTTCGGAAGTTGTGGGAGCTTCATCAATGGAGGTTTTCAAAGGGAGATTGGACTGCCATCTGTCAGAAATGGTGTAGGGTCTCCCGCTTGGGCGGGGGGGTTGGACTAGATGACCTACAAGGTCCCTTCCTACTCTGATTATCTGTTACCTGTTAAGTTTTCTGAGCTGAGGGCACCAAATGAAGGCGATAAAAATGTCCATACTCTCTCCTGGCCCCTAGAGGGAGCCCGGTCTTCTCAATCTAAAGCAAAACACCGAATTACGGGTATTCTTCGATTTACAACTGTTTGTTTAGTGGCCTTTAGCCCCTTGGCTGAACCCCTCCGAATGAAATGGTAGAAGATCTCCTGCTTGAGCATGGGGCTGGACTAGATGATCTCCAAGGTCCCTTCCAGCTCTATTCTGATTCTGAAATGGGCACTTGGCCTCATCATTTGAGCTGCCCTCCCCCTCGCCATTCACAGACCCCCCATTTTTTTCCTAGATTCCAACCTACCTTACCTGGCTTGGATATTGCAAGCAATTGACCCGGCCCGACTTTTCTATAAAAGCGTCCTGCCTGGGGAATTCTCGGAGTTGAAGTCCACGCAACTTTCAATAAGTCGAGAAGCACTGCTTTAACCCAAGGTCGTCACTCTTGATAGTATTTCCTAGCCACATTCGGTATTGCTGGAAAAACCGGGGGCCTTTTTTGAAAGACCCCCCACTCTGCTAAAGGTGCTTGTTTGATGCAATTGAGGTCGAACCCCAAAACTGAAGCGGCGTGGGCACAAAATGGGCACGTCGGCTGCATTATTTGATACTACAGTATATGACTCCAATAAAGTCCAGCCAATCTGCAGCTTCCTAAGGTTTTGAGAAAACGCCACGCTCAATTTGCATTTGGAGGGGCACAATTCCTTGTAGAGTCTTCTAAAATCTCCACAGGTATAGAAATGGAAGAATCATCAATTCACCAAGAAAACCAGGGAGATGCCTACATAGACAGTATATAATGTGTCTATATATAAATAAAGTCTTAACAACTAAAGAGTGTATTTAACTGTAGCAGGAATGGACAGTTCCCCCTGGACCAATTAAACTCCACTTCCGTATATAACTAGCCAAGAATAAATACTTCCAGCAAAATAAAATATAAATTTTGTTTTGTTTTTTTGTTAGCCTGGCTTTGCTTCCAGATAGCTGCTGTTCCAAATTACTTGCAACAAGCTTATAACTGTCTAGGATTTCTCTCTCCTCAAGGAAAATCGTTCAAAAAAGATAGAGAGGATGGTGAATTGCCTTGGCTGAACCTTTGCCACTGGATTCGGGAGCAAAGGAGGAATGACGGTGGCCGTCGGGAAGGAATGGAAGTCGCTTCTGCCAAGTCATGGGGTGTGTTAAGATTGATTTATAAACAGTTGGTGCGTCTACGCAACCAGCTCCACGAACTTCCCAGCCTTTTTTTCCATCTGGGATCCTTCCGTTTTGGCAACTGACTGCCGAAGGAACAGAGAGAAGGGGAACAAATTCAAAAGTTTTGTTTTGTTTTGTTCTGAAAGCTGGATTAGCGGAAGAAAATTTTGTGTTTGGTTTGTCCCCCGGTGATGCGTCTTCTGTTTTGCTGGGAGATTGCAGCCTTTGCTGGCTCCTTTTCTTCGTGCCTGTCCTAATTTAAAAAGAAAAAAAATGGATATATATTAAGTTTGCCTATTTCACTTTTTGATTAAACAAGCAATAGGGATGCTGACATTTCCAACCATCAGCCAGCCTTTCCCAGCTGTCTGCAAGGAATATAAATCTTCCCATGCTCCACCATTCAGTCAGAACCGAAGAAGCTTCTTGGATGAGAAGGGAAAACATCTTCAAGGAAAAACAAAGTCCAGTTGCCGTTTGGAGAAGAAAAAAGCACCTTTGAGTCTCTTTGGGATGGCTGCCCAATGCTCATGCCACTCAAAAGGTCATTCAGAAGGTT